CAAGTGTTACACTGTAATGACTGTTTTCGTAGATTTGTCAGCCTTTGTACATATATATAGCATGTTGATTTTCAAAAGAAGCAAATCGGGTTGTGTTGGCATCCCACTTATGTTGACTAAACAGTTTAAGATTCCCTTAATCTAGAATATAGACTAGCAAAAATGAACAGGCAAGTTTTTATGTAACGTTATACACAATGAATCTAATACGCCCCACCTCTACTGCAGAAAATCTAAAGAGAACTCAGATACCGTGAGCATACGGTAGTTGTATCTAGTTACTTGGGCATCTATAGTATCATATGCATGTATAGTCTACTATACAAAATCTTGCAAACTCTGAACTTAAAAATCTTAATACTTATCTCTTTTGATAACAAAATCATTGCCATCTTCTTTTGGCAAGGACCTAATCATTATGAATTGATTATGTGAATCTATTTGCAAATTTTGAGTTGTCATAACTGATAAACCATGAAACGCCAGTAAAACGAATTCGAAGGAGCTAATTATGTATACTTAATGTGGGCCAGTTCGTTACAGGATGGTATAAGACAGACACTAGTGGCTAGTGGAGGGCAAATCACATATAACAAAGAAAAATTATGTAACACATACTTCTTACAAAATGAAGCACCCCACCCCATCCAAGAGTTCAAAACAAGGTCGTTTTTGACCTTTAAAACAAAGAGTTCACTGTATTTTGTGTAAGAAATAGTAACCATTGGCATCGAGTTACACTAATCATGTTTATGTAACAATAGTGAGGCGCAAAGTATTTAAGCCAACAAAGATAAGTATTTCTGTTGAAGTATCTCTTGTAAGATACAGAATTTACTGGTTATTAGTACGGTATTACATGCACAGTACTTAAAACCGCATGGCGATTACTATACTGGCAACGCCTACAGTCAGAAATGCTATTATACTTTGTTAAAAACTCAACAGATTTTGCCATCTTTTAAGTGCATCTAAACAAGTGAAGACGTACATGTATCTAATAGTATTCTTTATAACCCACAGATATGGTAAAATACTCTTAGTTGTGGAGTGTGGGATACTATTCCCAAGTGGATATAAGGATATCTGTCAACATGTTTGTCCAATGAAGCATTAAATGAACGGATAAAAGACAGACACAATAACAACCATCTTACCTTCTCAATCGTCGAAGCTTTACCCACCAGAAACGCAAGGTGGCTTTCCTTGTAGTTTCCTCGTCGCTGATTCGTCCAACGGGACAAAAAATGTGAGATTCTGAGGAAAAATGCAATTTTAGTGTGCATGGCACGCTAAGGTAACGCGTTGGCTAGCCGCGAAAGTGGAACGTGTTAACATCCCACGTAAAAAAATGGCGCGTCGGCAAGACTGGTTCTTCTAGTTTTTGACGACCGGAGCGGTGACAGGCTATATGTCGGGCTGTTTTGCCCCGTCTCTCACTTGTGTTACGGGGCGAAACAATAAACAACTGGACGGAGTAATTGTTCGGTCTCACGCGAACTTCCCGGTGTGGTATTCACTCAGGGAAAACGACTATAAGATGTCCTTGGGCTCTCTCAGAACAAGGGCGGGAAAAACAAACCACAACCGGTACAACAGACATGAGGCTTAAGTCAAAGACGGGAAGTTTTTAAGACGACTTTTTTCTTACATCGTGATGGAAAACGGGGCATTAAACGTATTATCATATTGCCAGAAGACGTCGACCAATCAGAAGGCTCCATTTCCCATCAGTTATCAGGCCGTAACATCAAAAGTGGTCGGTTATTAGAATAACCGACTATTTTTGGACCGTATCATCATACAGGGGACATGCCACTAACAGTAGTGTTAAGACTTGTAGTATTTAGTTGAATATCAGTTGGATAGGGTATATGGTAATGACGTTTAATGCACCGCCTTATCGTCGGTGTATATGTTGAGATAATCCCTGACCAGAGTGCGATAACAACCTCATAAACCACCTCGTTCGCTACGCTCACTTGGTGGTTTATTGGGTGGTTATCGCACCTGACCAGGGATTATCTCACCATATGCAACTCGGGGCAGGGCATTAACCCATTATTAGAAAGACGAAATTATGTGCACATGCATGCAGACACCAGATAATATGACAAACCCCATGTGATAGTTTATTATTAATCTGCACATAGAGAAAACATACATGTAGTAAAATGATTATTTCTCATTCTTTCTAAGTTGCTTGTAGTCTCTAACTCTGCCATGAAGATTTCAGTAAGTAGAGTAACATCGATGTTATACATTTTTGAATAAAATTGAGATTTTCGGGAAAAGTTTTTAATTAAAAGTTAATGTTAAAATGTTGAGGGAAACAAAATTATGACAATTGATAAATCTTATCATGAAATAACTGACAGAATAATAGTAGAGAAGCTTCATAAAAATAATATTTTGTTCTTGTCAAAGCTGTTGACTAACTAGAGTCTAAAGAACAATACTGGGAATGGTGTGCTGTAGAGGCTTATTCAAATACTTTGAAACTACATACTTGGTATTGCTATTAGCCTAATGATGTATTTTATACACTAAAGTGAAATCAAAAGACAATTATTATTTGTACAATAAATGACAAAATCAAGTTGTTAAATCTGAGAGTTGATGTACATGCATGAACACATCCAGCATTGTTTGTATTGTCCACTATACAGTTATACAGTTCTAGTAGCTTGGGAGAAATTTGCATATATTATTATTAGCTTAAGCTGGAAGAAATACCAGTCAATACCTTTGGAAACACCCTGATTATATACAATTTCATAACTTGAATGGCTATCATGGCAGTGGTACCTATGACCAAAAACTCACATACATGTAATGCTAGGATTTCCACACAAATCTTTCAAAACGTTTACAAGAATTCATACATTATATGTGGTTACAACAAATTTTGTGCATTGGGTTAACCATAACCCCACCCATGGTACCAATACATGTACTAGTATGTTAATATGGCAGCCTAGATGCATTAATCAAGCAATGTTTGCATAGGATATAAAATTTTAAACTTTTTTGTCTTTCATTGCACTATTGCTTATATTTGACGAAAACTTTAATTAATAATATGTTTTCATTAGTGATTCCATAGTATATGGAGGGATTGATCCACATAATATTCAATAATTATTGTATAGTCATGTTTGTGTGCATGATATTTTGAGAACTAAGCAGTGAGCTTCTACTTTGAAGCACCTTTGAAGATATTGCTCACTATTTGCTATGGAAAACCATTGATTATTGCTTGTTCCTAAGTGTAGCTAGCATTTCTGATTCCTACATTGATGTATATATAAATGTACAATAAGTCATGCAGTTACTTGCAACAGTGTGTTATTGCTTCAAATTACACATAGCAGCTTAAGTGTCCTATATGATATAATATTAGTAATCAACTTGCTTTGCATAATCTTCTTGTAGTTTGCCCTACAAGTTATTATATTTCTTCATGTCATTGATCAAAATCTTTGGAGCACACAAATACTGAAAAAATGGTACTAGAAATCTAAGTCTTGGGCTGTTAATAGTAGGGCCCACTGTCATGTTTCTGCAATAAAGTTGAATCTTGTACCATGTAGTCACAACTATTGTTGTATCTCACATGTTGACAGTATGTTAGTTTTATATCAGTTTAAATACCCAGGTAAGATCTTTTATGTCTTGAGGAATAGATTTCATGGTAGCACAGTCTTGTCTGGTTTAAGAATCTTCAAGACTTGATAAGATATCAAATATTCTCTTCAGAAGCTTCTTGCTTGGACCTTTAGATTTTGATTGTCTGAGGTATATTCTAAACACTTCATGTTCCACACAAGTCCTAGAGTTTCCCATTTTTAAGCTTTAAAAAAATCACATCATCACATCTCAACCTTGTGATTCAATCATATCCACTCTACACAGCACCACATAACTGCATGTTTTAGTTTACATTCTGATTCAGTAACCTTTAAAAACATGGGGGCAGGGTACTCTCCAAGCAAAGGTTGAATGGGTGACCTTTTTCTATGCCCCGTTTTTTTCTGACAGCTGGCCCATCCAACCTCTGCCCTCAGTCAAAATGTCAAAGGACAAGGGGAGGTGCAGTTCTTTAAGAAACGTGTCGCTGGCCAGTTGGATACTGTCCGCGTGTTGGATACTATCTTTTTTGGCCACCAAAAGATCTGCTTGGAGATTAGGGGCAGGGGCCTCTACTTCGGAGGCAGAAGTATTGTTTTGAGTGGTTGTGAGTTTGTGTGTTTTGTGTCTGGAAAAAGTGTGGGAGGGAAGATTGACAGGCAACATAACAGAAGACCAAAGGAAAATGGAGTGAGATCCAAGGTCACAGAACTGGTTCTGATTACGTCATAAAAAATCCTTCAGTTGGCTGTTCCATAAAAAAACTAATTTCCTGGTAGCTTAAAATCCTTCCTTCATAAGCAGTATCATGTAAGATTTTCACTATTTTAAACATAGTTGATTTACAAATCTCCTTGTACTACACATATAAGCCTACCAGGGTTCACAATCAATATGACATTTGGGAAGTAAATGATCAACGTCGTTGAGCCGCAAAAACTTGTTGTAAAACTGCCAGCTCCACAGATAACAGCCATGTTTGTTGTCATCTGTCTGTTTACATTCTTTTTAGGAGCCTCCTGAAAATACAGCGGGCCTGACGCAACTTATTCTTGCACTGCGCTGAGTCTTCGGAAAAGCGAAATAGCAACACTAACATGTTGAAGGTTATCGAAAATGACAATCTAGATCATAAAATTTCATATTTACAGTTTCGGCGCAAAAATCTTACATAGTATCGCTTTAAGTCCACAGTTTGGTTGGGCCATTATTCAATAATCATCTCTCAATCGGGTGCGCAAGTATTGTTTTGAGTGGTACATGTGGCATTGTGAGTTTGTGTGTTTTGTGTCTGGACAAAGTAGGTGGGAGCAAAGATTGACAGGCAACATAACAGGAGGCGAACTTCAAGGTCACAGAGTCTGATCAAGAGCCAGCAGAACTGGTTCAGATTACTAGTATGTCATAAAAAATCCTTCGGTTAATTGCCTGTTCCAGGAAGACCTAAAATACTTCCTGGAAGCTTGAAATCCTTCCTTGTTAAAGTGATATCATGTAAGATTTTCTCTATTTTAAACATTGTTGTTTTACACATTTTCTTGCGCCATTCAATGACATTTGGGGAGTAAAAGATCCATGTTGTTGTGCCACATAATCGTGTTGGACTGCTGAAGATACCCAAACGAAAACCGTTTGTTTATATTCTTTTTAGGAGCCTCTTGAAAATACAGCAGGCCTGGCACAACTTATTCTCCAGAAAAGCGAAATAGCGACACTAACATGTTGAAAGTTATTGTAAATGACAATCTAGATCATAAAATTTCAATTATTCATATTTACAGTTTTGGCGCAAAAATCTTACATAGTATCGCTTTAAGTCCATAGTTCGGTAGGTGCCATGCCTTCCTTGGTGAGAAGAGCGGGAGACAGTTCCTCCTGGTTCAGGAACATGAGAGGCTGGAGGACCAGGTTTCCCTTCACGCGCGCCAGCTCTCGCCGAGCCTCGGCCGTATCCGTGACGACCAGACCGTCTGTCTGCTTGTACCGGTTCAGCGACTGGAATGTTGTAGCGCGGTCCGTGGGAATGCAGTGGAAGACCTGGGAGAGAAAATTTTGATAGGAAGATTTCTTTATTTTTATTTATTTTATTCACATATATAAGCTAATTTATTGAGTATTAGGCATAAAGCACAGATTGCTTAATGTGACACCTTCTACTCAAAACATAAAACGAGAGTAAAACACATTGAAAATAATATATCATAATAAAATAATAATATAGATAAACAAAGTGGATAAAAGAAAAATGAGTATAAAGAAGTTGGTGATCTATCAATGACGAGAATCTACCTGTACAGAAAATGAAGCTTTGAAATACATTAAAGACATTACAGTTTGTAACTTTTTTGAAAATTTCTTTAAGGCACAGTGTTCCAAAGGGTTTTATGTAACCTTGAAACTTAAACACTAGACTTCAAAAATATATGGCATGTGCCTGAAAACCTTGTGCTTGCAGTAAGCAAATCTTAACCATGGAAGACTGAAAATCTTATAGTCAATGCTTAATCCTTTTCTCTACTGACTTTACAGCATACCTACATAGACAAGACTACAGCAGTAGACTATGTAATATATATGCTAAGTACAGAATTTGAAAAAGAATTTGCAAGAGATAAAGGTTTTTTTTGCTCTCCTTTTCACAGTTGTGTAATATAGACAAAAGGAATACAGCTGCAGTGTTAACAAAGTATCTTTACTAACATCATCATATATCTTGGTGTTGATGGCCGCTGTTTTCACCCAGACATCTTTGAAGAACTCGGAAGAGACGATGTCGTCAAGGTCAATGCCCTGGTCCCCCTCCATTAGCCCCAGGTGCTCTCTGTTTGGAAGACAAAGTCATGAAGTATACTATTATTATATGTATATCATTTTGTATCTGTATCTGACATATGAAGGTTAGACATCCAGGTAATGACATATACAAGAAAACAGTTCCTCAAGTAGTCTGTGTAACGCAAACTCTGCTGTCTGCGACTTTAGTGGCCCCTCCCTGGCGGCTGGATGTTGGGCGGCCAGCAACCGTAAAGCAATTTTATCAGGCTATTCCTCAAGCAACAGGATAGATTTTGAAAGCTGTTCGATGCTGCTCTTAGCATCCACTACTTTTTGTCAGTCACAGTTACTGTTAGTGGACGCTACTCGAAATTTATCCAGTTGCTTTAAAATAATTTCATTTCAAAATTCCCCATCTGCTCATGTAAACAAAATACTGACTGAACAAATTGAACTCTAAATATCTCTGCATCATTCTTGTATCTTGAGCTTGACGTTTTTTAAAGTCTTAAATTTTGTTTTCAAGTTTAAAGTCTGTGTCTCACCTGAAGCACCTTTTCCTGAGCTCAGAAGCAAACGCCCCCGCCTGATACTCCTCCCCGTCCATACGCGACGGTTTCGTCACCGTATCTATGACGATGACCGCCATCTCGCTGTCCTTCTCCCCGATCATGCTGCGGTCGTTGATGTTGGCGGAACCGATGATGGCGATTCTGTCGTCCACGATCATCATCTTGGAGTGGACGTACACCATCTCGCTGACGGGGGTCCCGTTCAGCTCCGTGTGCGTACGCAGACCGCAGAACGACACGTAGGAGTACGGGTCTCTCACCTCCTGTGATCATGACCAGCAAACACAAATTTTAAGATCATTAGCCTAATACTAGTACATGAATAGAACAGTAAACTCTTAATACAGTAACATTATATATTTACATCTTAATATAGAACAGTGCCAATTCCAAGTTTTGGATGTTGAAAAAAAAGTTATCCTTAGACTACACATGTGGCAAATATGATCAACCCCATATATTTGCTACATATACTCTTTTCTAAACACTTCTTTCATGTACTCGAAATTCCTGAATAAAGTACGCACTTTTTAATCTTTTCAACATCCCAACAGTGTCTCAGGCCATTGCCAAAGTCGGAGTGCATACTTTATTTGAGGTTTCCCCCCCGACGGTAGTTCATATCACACAGATATGAGTTGCATGTACAATTAAGGCTGATTGAAATAAAAGGTTTCAAACAAAATAAAATGATGCACATGTATATGTACCTGCCATTATTATTATTGTATAATATGAAGCCAATTATTACTAAATCTTTTGCTCTTTATCAGATTTAATATATAGTTTAAGAAAACTACTGTTAAAAACTGCCTGCTTATGTGTCTGCCCACCTTGGAGAGTCTGCTCATTAGTGAGTTCTCCCCTTTACACATGGTGGTGAAGTTCCAGTGGAACACAGCCTGGATAGCCAGGCCTGTCGCTGTGCCAATCTCACCGGGGAAACCTGGCAGCAGGGGCAGGACAACGTACACACGGAAGTTCTTTCCTTTCCTGGAATATAAAAATGGTTAATATTAGGTAAAATTTCCAATGTAAGTTTTTAAAGTTAGTACAGTTTCAATGCAAAACTGTGGAAAATAAGGTCTTACTGAGTTATATTGGAGACTGCAAATGTTATGATAATGCTTCCCAACTTAGCACTCAGCAGTTATATGTGAAAGAGCATATAAGTTGAACACACAGTGCTACCAGTGGACTAACCACTGCTTAATAATATATAATATTATAATATTATGTTTTTGTCCATTAAGGGCTAACAAAATAGAACTACATGACTGTATACACCATATAGTGTGACTTTTGACTTTAACAAAGAAATACATACATTGTACTGATCTCAACATGAAGTACAAATTTTGTCATCTGATTCAGAAAAAAAAATCAGATTCTAACTGCTCAAATGAAAGCTCATCTGTGTTGGCAGAATGAGAGTTCAAGCTTTGCTCCAACACACCATAAATTTTTGGTCGATCACACATTTGACAAAGGTTGACGAGATTGACTGAAAATTGATAGTGCCTGAGTTTCCTTTTTGTGTTGGAACAAAGTTTGAACTCTATAACTATAAAATCGTTATCTAACGTCTGGTGGAGTAAACATGTATGAAAGCTAAAACGATGACCACTGTCTGGAACTTACTTCTCACACTCCACAATCTTGTCGAAGACTGCCTTGACGATCTCGTTATGTACATAAGGGTTATCCTGTAGACAGCTGATGAAGAACTGGTTCTCGATGTAGATGTAGTGTTGAGCCTGCTGGATGGACCACAGGTACGCCTCGTAGATGGACTTCTCTGTCCTCGAGATACCAGCTGACCACTTACTGGACGACCGCAGGATCTGGAACGAGAAGAATTTGGTCGTGAAAGTCTCTTCTTTTTCGTTGTTTGTGAAAATCAAAACACGGTGTTTTTGTGCAAAATAAAATCAATGAAATACATATTTGGATAACACTTGTTGGTTGCTTATGCAGGTCAGCACAGGTAAAACTGGGGCTGTTCAGGTATTGCTGATGTCATTATACTTTCATCTAACCTGCACCAAAGTACATGTACTTGAATTAGGACACTAGGCTTTTGTGATTCCAGTAGTTTGGTAACAGTTCCTGTTATAAAGTAGATTCCACATTCCACTTAAGAATAGTACCAAGACCACCTTCAAAATACTTTTGCTAAGACTAAAAGACAAAGAAAATAAGCAGCACAGGTAAACTTCCTCTGGTGCAGGTAATGTCAAATGTTACATGAACCTGTGCAAGTATGAAGAAAAAGTCATATATATGATTATCATTATAGTAAATTAGAAAGGCCAACATTTGCTTGGGAGCAAATACAGCATATTTCACCCATCCTTCCTCCCCATTCCACAACAGGCTGTTCCATATCAAAAATGAAGAATTTGAATCCATTCAAAGAAATGGCAGGAGAAGAAGGAGAATCATGAGGAAAAACAATACATTTCAGACATACTATAGTATGCAGTATGGGTGAAATTTAATAAAGAGTATTTTGGGTCCAGCAATGTTACAAACCTGGCAGTCACAGCGAGTGGTGCTCTGTACCACCCTGGGAGTAGGGAACTCCTCATACGACCTGGGCAGCAGCATCTGGTAGGTGGGGTTAGTCTTGGCCTTCTCCACCTGGGGACAACAAAGAAAACAATATATTTCATCCAAACCATGGTATGGAGTGAAATATAAAATTCTATCTCATCAAAGTTTTCTATTCACAACCACTTTTTTTACAAGAGCCGATGTTTCAATGACTATCTGTGATCTTCATCAGCTGGGTTATAATAATATAGTGAAATATGGTCATCGAAACGTTGGCTCTTGTGAAACAAGTGGTTGTGAAAAAAGTACCTATGAAGCAGTTACCAGTGTTCTCGCCAGGCCTTTTGAGCATAGGGATTTGGACCCCCTATGCTGTGATTTGGACCCCTATGCTGTCTTTCAAGCAGCATAGGGGTGTTTTGGGGGGGGGGGAACCTTCATAAATCTTGCAAAAATAAAAATATAACTTTAGATTGAAGCTATAGTAAAGGGAAAACCTTAACTTTACAAAATCTGTCCCCCAATAAGTGAGAAATAGTGTTTCAGGGGGTTATGAGTTTCAAAGTTTTTAGGCTCAATATGCGACTTGCGCAGCGAAAGTTGCCCTTCTGTACCTGACCCCTATGCTGTGAAAAAATCCTGGTGAGAACACTGTAAAAAAAAAACTTGTACATGTATGTGAAAAAAAAATTCTTTAATATGATAAGAAGCAAAACCGGACATATTGCTAGTAAGACTAAAACTAAGTTTTCAAATAAAGGAAAATTTCCACACTGTCGCTAACCTTTGCGGCGTTCCATCTCTGTATGAAGTGCCTGGCAACGTCCCGGGCGGCCTTCCCATAAACCATTGCTCCAATGTCGTGCCAGGGCATGCGCGGAACGGTGGTGCGATCTATGAAATCTACAGATGACATGGAGAATGGGTCAGATTGGGGAGAACGCAACTACAACAAGGTACAGGAAGTATGATAATTGACTGATAAACTACCATGTTTGTCAATGATTTATTTTTTTAGTAAGACTTTTTATATCTATTTTATTAGTCATCATTGAATAGTTTCATCAGGTTGGTAAGACTCACTGAATAAAGAGACTCTTTCTACACAACCAAGTCTTTTATTCAGCCAACATTTTTTTATTATTTTCATTGTAGATACACTTCCCTGTAATCACACATATGTGTAGATATGTATCAACTAAATATTGTACGTTTGGGAATGCATCTATAGCAGCGACACCTGTGCTGCATTGCAAAAATTGTGAACCTGTCAGAATTGCCCTGAGGAAGGTGACAGACGGTCACCAAAACGTCGGCTGAATAAAAGACTTGGTTGTATGAAAAGAATATAACTCATATAACTCATGTTATTAGTCAGTAACTGATTCTACAGCCATGTATATATTATCTACATGTACAAGAAATTCTCACAGTGACTACATGACTTCTAAGCAACATGTAGTACTACATGTACATGTACATGTACATGTTGTGTGTGTGCATTAGAATTTGAGACTAGAAATCCTGGTCTGTATTCATACAATGAAGGGGTTGAGATTAAACCTTCAACACTGATATGTACATTTGGTGTGCTTGAGTTGTGTTTTGACTCACTCACCAGAAAAGGGCCTCTCCAACTCAACAAAGTCCTTGGCGATGAAGTTCACGTAATCCTTCCCTACCCACAACTTGGCTTCACCCTCCATACCTGGGAGCTTGTTCATACCAGCACTGGAGAGAAATATACATTAAAAGCTTAGCTTCTATATCTCTGTAGCCAGTATAACCGCCCTTCGGTGTAACACAACAGCTTCGCAGGCACGCAGCGTGGTGGCAGCTGGCTACATTACACTGAACAACCTGTTACATCTAACCCTTGAACATCTAACTTTAGACATTGTTTAAAGCTATCTAATGACAATGCCCCTACTGTACATGGTGACAGCGAGTTCCACTCTGTGATAATTCTAGGAAAGAAATTGAGCTTTCTTATTAATTAAGTCTAAGAAAGAATGCCATTGGTCAATTTGAAGTTTAGATACATGATGAAGGTGAGTTACATGTATTTTGAATTTACCAAACAGAATTTTAGGTAAATGTCAGTATTCATGCGACTGAAGAGTTTTGACTGACCGATACAGCTCTAGTTGCAACTAAGAAAGAAGGATCATTGCAGTCTTGTATGGAACACTTTAGAATAGAGAGAATAATACTGTATCTAACCTGTAGCTGTTTGTATGTTGCAGTCTGACAGGAATGGACTCCTCTTGTGTTGTTGGCTGGTCAATGGATGGAAGCTTCAAAATCCCCACTGGTTTCTTCCTCTTGGTACTTTGGTCTGTGTTTTCTGCATTTTTGGCATTTTGGTCTGCAGTAGCACTTTGTGTGTTTTCTGTTTCTCCTGTGGTCAAAAGTGCTTTGGTGCTTTCATCTTCTTCTGTTGTTCCATCGACTTCATCTTGTTCTTGTGTGTTTTCACTTTCTGGTGTCTTTCCATCCACTATTTCATTGTTATTTTCCGGAGATTCAGCGGGAATTTCGACCTTGACAGCATCTTCATTACAGAAACCCACATTTTCCAAGGAGTTGTCGATTTGAAGGTCGCCCGTTCCACCGTTTGGGGTGACGAGGTTGATTTCGGGGTTTTCCGGACCTTCTTCTTCAGTGTCGAGGAAGGAGATGTGGGGTTTCCTGGGTTGGTTGTCAGGGGTCTGAGTCACTATGCGGTCATTTTGTCCCCCGCTGTCTGTCTGTTTCTGTGACGAAGATGTGATGTCTGTTTGTTGCTGTAACATTTTTAAATTAATAAAAACAATTAGCACACCAATTCTCTTTGCTACAAACATCTTACTTGGTTAAAGATCTTTCAACATGATAACTACACTTAATGTAGTATAAAGGTAAAATAATGTGTAGCTTAGTTTAAGCTTTTTATTGTCAGAAAATAGTTGTTTGTCACCATTCTCTTTTTCCCACATTGACTCTTCCCAAGAAGTTCCTTCACTTAACGTTTGTTCCCTGGCTAAGTTCTATAAATTTATCAAAACAGAGAAAATATTAAACTCTAACCTCAAGTCTTGCAGATCCAAGATCAGCCAATCTGTGGAGGTAATCATCCCAACGTCCGTAGCACAAGTCAATACCCCCTAGGAATGCAATGGACTGGTCCACAACCACCACTTTCTCATGGTGGGCCCAGAGGAAGATGCCACCTGGCATATGGTCTGGGTGACGCAGCACCTGGTAAAAAAAATCAAACATTCACTCAGATGTATATAATGTGTTTTAGTCACAAAGATGTGCATAATACATGTACTAGCTTAAAAGGTAACATTTTCGATAATGTTCACCTCACATGGTCTAGCCTAACAAAGTAAAGCTCTGTTTATTCTTACTAAATCACATTCATATACATGTATACTACTAGTATATGGTGACCAGCCCCTCCAACTGTGTCCTGCTACACAATGTAACCTAACACCACAGGGCATCTGCTACAGCACCAGTTACCATGGTGACAGACGTCTGGTCCTGGTCATTGACGTGTTTGGAGAAGAAGGAGAAATAGAGCAAAAAGCAATTATATATTTTCCTTCTACGAAGTGAACATAGTAAGATGAAATGACAACTGTTACATTACCTTGACGTTTGGATGTAGGTTGAGCAGAGTTGTTTTGCTGTAGAGGCTGTTTAGACCAATGGCCAGCTCAACCTCTTTGTACAGCAGGACAAAGACCTTCACTCCTTCCTCCTGGAAATATAACAACATGTGATTAACATGTGATCAACATGTGATGATCATGTGATTGCCATGTGACAAACATCCTACTGTCATGTGACTTTGGTATCATACCCTGTCTAAATGTATGTCTTTGACTGCTGAACTATCTTTCCAGAAACAGTACATTTAATCAATTTTCAAGGTTTATGACTGCCTCAGTAATCCTGATATAATTTTTGCAGGACCATCAAAAGGATATCATTCTTATTCCCAAGATCTTTAAATTTGTTTTCTTGGAATGGTGATTAGAGAGTAACATTTAACTAATTCACTCATCCAATATGTCCCTGTCCTTGGTGCTGAATGCTATCTATTGTACCCGATTACTACATGTATTCTACTAACACTAAGCTGTATGTAGATGAAAATATTGAAATTTTGAATTAAAATAAATATCAAACAGGTAAAAATTAACCCCTTTCAGATTTTCTGCATCTGTATCGGTATAGCCAGTGTAACCGCCCTTTGGCGTAACACACCAGCTTCACAGGCACGTGGCATGGCGGCAACTAGCTATATCACACCGAACGACTTGTTACACTCAATCTTTGCACATTTATTTGCAGGAGTTGTTTAAAGCTTTCTAGTGATTGTTTTCTAGTTTTGACTGGCAGCCCTGACAGCTCTTTGACTTACCGCTTTCCTCTTCAGGACTTGGTCCAGCCTCCATTTCTCACCCTCTGCAGCCACAGGTCGAATGAGGTAGATCTCTGGACTCAACCTGGAAAAACAACAAAAAACATCCCATCGATACTTGAACATTTAGATAACTATCTGTAAGTCATTCAGAGGTCCAAAATAAGTCAGTCATTTTGTCTATGTCTCTTAGGACCGATGCAAAAGTCATAAATGACATGCCAAAGGTTTTTACAATGTGGTTTGCTAAATCAGTCAACAAGATTTTGGTAGCTTGCACTTGCATACATAACAGAAACAAGATATTTTTACCCTTTGACACAAAGTTGTCACCATGAAAAAGGTAACAATAACATCAAGGTACAAACATACATGTACATGTAAGACAATCAAAAATACAAAAATGTACATGTACACAGAGTGACATCATGACAGGATTAGGGGAAGACAAAACTAACTGAGAAAACAGAAATAAGGTTAAATACTAGGCTGATTCTAGGATATTTAAACATTCTGCAAAGTTAACATGGAATGCCTTTATTGATGCTTTGATTGTGAAACAGAAACATGTAGAGGGCATGACAGAGGACAGTGGTGTTCAAGCATTAGGAGAAATGGCTACCTGCAGTTCAAGGTGCAGAGGATAGGAGGAGTCGGGAGTCTGTAGATGTGGAAAGATCATGCATGATTTTCTCTGCACCATTACTACAAAATCATGACATCTTATATATATACATAAATAGCTTTGGTGCACAACAACTGGGGTACAAAAGTACAAAGGATTACAAGACGAATGGTTAGTTGTGTGATAAAGTAAGGATGACTAGGACAAATACAAACCAGGAAAATATGATCATATCCAAGGACTTAGGTTTGACTATCGAAAATGTCAAAGGTTTTGCCGTAAAAGAAAATTGACTAATCATCCTAAGACTGTTTTGTATTGAAGTACAATACATATGTAACAAATATAAGGACAACAAGAGCAAACTGTCTGTGGAGACTTGATGATTTATAGAAAGAACACTTTGAATCAGAGTACTTAATATACAATCATTTATGTCATACCTGGGCAGTGATTATGTTCGATACGGGTGTTCCGGACCGGGCCGTACTGTACGGCCCGGACTTCTTTACGCATATGGCCTGGGCTTCCGTGGCTTCCATAAAACGATTCGAACGCATTTCGCCCTAACCGCGTGCACTGCTTTCGAAAATTTGAATACAGAATTCGGAGGTTGGCATTGATGTTGTTGTCCCAGCCCTCCCGCGGTTCGGATCACCCTCCAGCCTTCGGGCGATCCGATGCGCGGTCAGGCTGGTACCTCAGGCGATACGGAATACCCCGTGTCGTATTCTATATGTACATGACTTGTACATACCACCAGTCAGAGATAAAGATTTCCTCCCTTGCAGCCTCCAAGCCTTCAGCAACAGCAGCCATGTAGGAGGCTCCATCTACAAACCTGGGGAGGGATGGAGCATGTTTGGTCAGTTGACAATCACATGATAGACACATGATAGACACATGATAGTCACATGATAGTTACATGATCAAGTCTGGTGGGAATGTAGCTGATTACATCACACTTCTAGCTGTGCTTTTACTGGTCAGAACCCTAGAAGCTTGATGACCAACATATCAAAGTCAGGAGAATTGGGAACATTTTCTATATTGATTTAATAACTGCTAGCATGGACCGATCATTGTCCGAGAGCAGTCTGTTACCATGGTGTTGGAGGCTGTGATGACTCAGGTTTCCATGGTGACAAAGAATCTTGAGCTCCTATTGGATGGATTTTCATAGTGATAAAGAATTCTGAGCTCCTATTGGTTTTTCTGGGAATAGGAATTTTTTCTCTGGAGTTGAATTAAGGTGAAATTTGGCCAACAAGCTCTCGGGGAAGAGGCCCATTCAGTCCCTAACACTGAGTGAGAGATTGTGTATTACACACTACAACTAGTCAGGAATGTTAGGTGGAGTTTTACCATTGCGCCTGTGTGTCGGTCCTGACTGGTGCGAATGAGTTGAACCTGTTCCACCGCGTGAAGTCCCGCCCGTAACGCTTCATCGTCAGTTCTATTCCACGCTTCCACTCTTCCAGCTTACGGGCCGTCCAACACTCCACCAGCAAGCGCCTGAAAAACATGTCCCATCCATGTCATTTTATCTCCTTAGTTAAGCCTATAAAAAATGTTGTGTTTCCTGTTTCAGTCCTTGAAGAAATTATCATAATCTATTAATTACGATTAAATATAAACATGCATTGTTGTTACCTTTATTGCATATGTGACCATAATATGTGGTCTACAGTATCAAACACTGAAATGCTACAGTCTAAGTAATGCTAAATAATAAAGGTGTACTGGGCAAAATAAAGGGCAAAAAGGATGCAGGTACAGAATGTAATGTACTTACGTCTAACAGAATATGATACATATTACACATACTAGAAAAGTTAATCTGTGTTGATACAAGTCATATGAAATAAAGATTTAAACTTTCCTTCCAAAACTGGAATGAATTGGGACTTAAGCCAAATGTTTGGCTGACTCAACTTTGTTCATGGAACAGACCCGTCTACTCTTGGAACATGACGTCAGAGACACACAACCATAGTAGCAGGCGATACAAGTCATCTGGCACGTATGACCCGCTACTAAGGTCACGTGTCTCTGACGTCACATTCCAAAAGTAGACGGGTCCATTCTATGAACAAAGTTGAAGGAGTCAGCCGAAAATTTGGTGTAAGTCCGAATTCATTCCAGTGTTGCAAGGAAAGTTTAGTAGTCTTTTAATAGTTTGTATCTTGAAGCTACGTAGGATGGAAAAAAATCCTGGTCGAGAACAAACCTGGAGAAGTTGGACATGACGAGACCGTTGCGAAGACCAGTCTCCTCACGCCCTGACTTCACGCTGAACTCCTGATCAAACAGCAGCACGTCTGCCACTCTACCGTCCTCCGGTCGGACGTACGCCACAAACGAATCTTTCACCAGGAACCACCTGGAATATACAACAGGAACTGACAGTCATAAGCTTGCAGTCATATGTAAGTTTGTCATAAGTTCCACCAGTCGTAAGTTTGTTGTGAGCTTGTTGTAGAACTATCATATTTAACGACAGGACTGGCTGCTGCCATTCCAAAGCCTTGGAATAACATCAGTACAAGTACGCACATTGGCAGATTGTACTGCACCTGCATGAACCCCCCATTTTTCACAGTTTTCATTGGATTTTTGGCCAACGTTGCATCAGAATTTTTTCCGACATAACATTTGGAAACTACAGATGGAGTGGTAACCTTATAAGTTATTGCCCGAATACGACCTTACAGGAGATGTTCTGGCATTGGGAGAATGACAATGTTGAGACTTAATATTCAAAATTTAATGGTTACTTTCAACTTTCAACTATTCGCCTTTTACAAGAATGACAGAAAGTTGGACCACCACTCCTTTAATTTGAAGGATATATACAGGATTAGAACAGGTTAAGAACTGTATGTTGCTTTAAGGGCTGTATCCTTGCTTCTCTGACACAAAGCAGCCATTACGTTCTGAGGAAGTTACAGTTGAACAGTTACCAAAACTTTGGCAGGATAAATACTTAACAGGAAAAAAAAACTTTTCAACATCCTTGACTGTTTTTTGCTGTTTAGATTTCAAGGACTAATGTACTTAATCCTGTTACACACTAATTATTCACAGCTATTCACTGCAACTTATGTACAACCCACAGGGCTAACTTCATAACATGTTTAACCTATTTTGTGGGACTACTTAACCTCCTGAACTTCTAAGCACCCATACAAAAAAGTAATTAAAAAATATCACTCAAAATTGCTTTGAAAAACATCAACATTGTGGATATATGAAACAAAACGATGTTAAAACTTTATCGTGTTTTGAGCTTTTAGCAAAATGTCATCTGTTGGTGACAAGAGGGAAAATTTGAGTTGACAGGTTAGGTGAAACTCGATCACACCTCAGGTGACCCTATGCCACACACACAGACCTCCAGGCAAGGTTCTACTCAATTAGCACATCTCACTGGTACAACCAGTTTTTGTCAGCAGGTGAAATCTTCAGTGCTCGCAGAGTCAGGTACAAACAACGAAACACTTTCAACAATCCATCGCGTATTTTCAGTCGCTCTTGTAGATTTACGCAAGTTTCGTGTTCTTGAGACACTAGGTCATTCCATGATCAAGACGTACAGTGGATGTCGAAAGTTTGAAGGTACGTGTTTACTACCTTTCAAAAACAGTCACTAAATTCATGAATATTCAACTAACTCTCGTAGGAACTGTTGAATTTTCGCAATAATAGGGCAGTGACTTGTCTAACATCTTTCAGCAATTGTATTAACAGGTGGGTCATTCAAAATGTTTGGAAAGAAAGTTGATTATGTTCAAATCCTGTGCTACTACATGGTAACAGGGCGGGGTGAAAATTTTGCCCGGTATCCAGCATAGGCCCATTTGCACATGTACAATGTGCTTTCCATCAAACTGAAAAAATGAATTTTCTGTAAAAATCTTAACGTAATGGTTATCATACTTAGTATTAGTATGATCAAGTTGTGTATAATAGGCATTTTAGCAATGCTGTACATAACAGGTGTTTTATGTATCAAATTTAATGATGCTTACTAAAGTGAACAAAAACTTAAGGTGTTTTCAAATTGGTTCTAAACGAAGATCAAAAAGACTCTTTTATCAGATCATTGTGTAATACTGTGTCTTGTACATATGTTAATTACTGAGAAAAAATTTCACCCTAAAATCTAACCTTCAGTGACACATGTGTTGGTTAAATCACCTAAGGAAGGGACGCTATCAGCTATCTGTCCTGCTTTTGTGCATGAGAGAGGAGCCTCGGGCATATTTAACGCACGTTTAGTTAAGACACAGAGTTGTTAAGAGTAGGGGTTTGCCACTGTGTGCACTGGTGACAAAAATAAGAAAGTGTGGCTAGTTGCATTACACTTCTAGGCGATAGAAAATTTTGTTTTACCTTAGTAGAGGATGACACTCAAAGACTGGAGTTAAACTTCTGCTAACACTAAGCATTTTTAGGGGTTTGCCAGTGTGTACACTCAGTCTGGTAAAAATATAAGATGCATTACACTTTTAGACGATAGAAAATTTTGTTTTACTTCAATATAGAGAATGACACTCAATGAATAGAGTTAAAATTATAATTGGGTTGGTAATGGTTTTCCTTTAATGCCCACGATCATGATAATAATCATCATACTCATTTTCACCTGAATGAAGTGAGGAAAGTCGTGTTAAGTGCCTTTCCCAAGGGCACAAGGTTGGTGACGGCAGGATTTGAACCTAGGACCTCTTGGTTCCCAGCCAAATGCTCTGGTGTTACGCTACACAACCCCCCTCTTCTATTCTTTTACTTCATGTATGGCTTGTATTCTTCTACAGATTGAATTGGTAACATCTAAAAAGAAGAAATCATGACTCCACCTCTGGTCATTCTAACCCTCTGTGTGGCTCTGCTAAAACCGACTACAGCCTTCCCAGTCAACTCTACACAGATCCCCACCATGAAGGCCACACAACTACAGGATAACATGCCATCAGCACCAATAGAGATGAGCTCACAAAAGTCAACAGTTTCCGCCAAGACTCCTTCAGGAATCTCTCCTTCGCCCATGGACGAACTTGTAGAAGATGTGACATCTTTGCCAGAAGAAGATTTGACTGATAACCCAACAGATTTGGTTCCATCACAGTCACAACCATTAGTGTCATCTTCTTTGAAGCCCAGCTCTACACAGGCCCCAGAAATTGTAGCTAGCACATCTGCAGGGAAGCCAGCGTCCGCGTCTCCTATGGATGTGTCTGCAGGGATGTTGACCGATGCTATGGAAACTGGATCATTACCTCCTGCATCATCGCAGGAACCCCCCATACAGAGCCCCGCAGCAAACGCCACAGTTTCGACAGAAACTATACCGTCATCGGAATCTGTTTTTTCTTCATCGAAAAAGCCAACACAACAGGCTTCAACAGTTTTGTCAACCATCAAGCAAAGTACGCCGTTAAAGTTGCTATCGTCAAATAAGTCCACACAAAAGTCAGCGACTTCTCTTGCAACACAACATGAATCAACAGCATCTTCCATACCGAACAATCCATCTACACAAAGCCCGGCAGTTCCACCACAAATCCAACTGTCATCCCTACCATCCATCGAGCAATCCACAGAAAATCCAGCAGTTATAACATCCACCATCAATTTCAAACCAAGAACAACAGTTTCTTCGTCACCAAAAATGGCTACAAACACAAAGACAGAGAAACCGTTTTCGTCACCTTCAACCTCGAAAGTCTACTCCACGCAGCGGCCTACGACGGTTACCATGGTTACGGAAGAGGAAGAACCGCTACTGTCAGCGGTCGAGAAACAGGAAGCGACAACACCAAGCACGACAACACTTCTGGTAGCCACTGGAGTAGGGTGCTCTGTAGGTGCTGGTATCATGAGCGCCATACTTTCCGTCTGTTTGAACAAAGCATTAGACAAAGGTTTCCCTACCAAGACACTGTTCAAGAAGTTACGTCAAAAAGCAAAGGATCAGAAAAAGAAAGGTAAAGACAGACTGGAGATTGAAGATGAAGAAAGCGCTGAAAACGAGATGTCATCATTGCTGGACAAAGAGAGTGACTTGAACTCTCTTCAAGACAAGATCGAGAAGCGGGAAAATAAAAAAGAGCCAGCTGCGATCGTGGATATGGAAAGGGGTGGAAGTGCGTACGAGATGTCGCCGTTACTGAAGAAAGGGTCCACTTTCGATCCATTCTTGGAGAAATTGGATCCTCCAAAGGTTGACAAATCGATTCAAACAGAGCCCAACGTTGAGCCAGAAAAGGAGGAAAACAAAAAAGAAGACATTAAAAAACAAGACCTGTTGAGAAATGGCTATGATATGTCACCACTGCAGGGCAAAGAACCAAATTTGGATTCTCCAGTACAAAACAACCTGCTAGGAGTTGATGTAGACACAGAAAACTTGAACAAGCTGAACCCAGAAGAAAATAACGACAAAATGCCAACATCACCAATCAAAGAGTCTGCCTCAAACTCTTCAGAAGAAAAGGAGGAAGCAGAAAAGCAAAAATTACTAACAGATGATATCAAACGACAAGCAGAACAAGGTTTAAATGGGGGTGAAATTGCACCACTACTAGGTAAAGGGGCAACTCAACTGTAATTTTATTTTATGGGAGATACAATGACTATTTTTATTTTTATTCCAACGTGTAATCACCAGACGTGGTGACGACACACTCAAGTTTTTTTCAACTTACATTAATGCTGCCACCAACACGGGACAAACACATGACAGGACAATACTCAGTTGCGTTGCGTACTCTGCAGCTATACCACACGACCCCACACTTCAATGACTATTGAAAACATGAAAGAGTGACCAAGGGTTGAAAATGATGATCAGAGTTAAATCTCAAAGCTGGTGCAGTGGTAAATGTAAAAATGAGTGATGCCACAATTTATGAGTTAAGAGTTTACATGTATTGACCTAACAGAGGAACAGAGGTGACAATTGATATCTTCATCTTTGCCGGGGCTCGAAGATGTTATGTGAGCCCCGGCTACACCCCCATATAGCCCCTGATGGGGCACTTTAGGGGGGGGAGGCCTTGGTCAAAGGCGGCCAGGCCTCCAGCCTGGCACGGAAGGACTCAACGGTGGGAGCCATAACTACCGGGCCAGGCAAGGCGTTCCATAGGGGGATTGTGCGAGGGAAGAAGGAATATTTGTAAGTGTCTGTTCGTGCATGTATAGGTTGATATTTATACTGGTGGCTCCCTCGGGTACGATATTATAACATTGTTATTGCATGGGCAACTAGATAATGTATATTAAACATGTCTGTACATGCATGATAATACATGGTGTGGTGAGGTATACTAAAGTATAGGGGATTCTTTGTGGTGTAACTTAAAGTATGTAAGACTTATTCAGAAAAAAAAATTAGTGAACAAATGCTTTAAAATTACATTTTTACAGTCACTTGATCTTTGAAACAATAAAAGTCAACAATGTATATATTATGCATTATGTATAACAGGAGCCTTTTTCAACTTTTTAAAGATATGTAGACTGGTGCGCATTTTACCAGAATGGGCCTCAATGAGTCTTCATCCACCCCTTTTCGAAGACCTGCGTGTCCTTTTTTTGTAAGGCGTAATCAGGCCTTTTTAGTCTCTGCAAGGCCACACCAATTTAATTTATTGGTTAACGGATTCGCCCGCTTCATTTTTTCCTGATTTGCAAATAAAAATAAAAATTCAGAATCAACTGCAAAATGCTCATATTTTGCCCTGAACAGTTGAAAACAGTCCTTTTCATCCTAGATGTTACAGTTATTCCATCTTTCAATGCAATGGTATCATTAAAAGTTCAAAATTCATTGTTTAAATTTTGACCCAGCCTGGTGTGTTGACTTCATGGCTCCTATCATACCATTTTGGGCCTTAATAGGATGCCTAGGCCTGTTTTTATTTTTATTTTTATTTCGCCCGCCCGCTCCATTATTTTCCTAGAAAAATCCGTTAACCAAGAAATTAAATTGGTGTGGCCTTATTCTGAAAAAAAAATTTTGTGAACAAATGCTTTAAAATAACATTTTTACAGTCACTTGATCTTTGAAACAATAAAAGTCAACAATGTATATAATTTTTTAATGCATTATGTATAACAGGAGCCTTTCTCAACTTTTTAAAGGTATTTAGACTGGGGCGCATTTTACCAGGATGGGCCTCAGAGTCTTCATCCACCCCTTTTCGAAGACCTGCGTGTCCGTTTTTTTGTAAGGCGTAATCAGACCTTTTTAGTCTCTGCAATCCGTAGGCAGCCGCCAAAAATCATCGTAATTCGTAATCAGTACATTATCCGTAACCCTTAATTGTTCGTAATCAGCTGTGAGGCCACACCATTTTAATTTCTTGGTTAACGGATTTTTCTAGAAAAATAATGGAGCGGGCGAAAAAAAAAACAGGCCTAGGCATCCTATTATGGCCCAAAATGGTACAATATGAGCCATGAAGTCAACACATCAGGCTGGTTCAAAATTGAACTTTGAAGTTTCTGTGAACAGACCCATCCTTACTTTCACAGACCCTCATTAACAACACATGACACAACACCTTTCACTAAACGTATATCACAGAACTGCTGCATTGTGTGCAGCAGAGCCTATATAATTATTTAGCCCCCATCGTTCAGGTGTTAACGACCTATGGGAAAGTGAAGAGCCTTGGGCGATGACACCTTCCACCTCGGGCACATACATGTACAGTGTAGAGTGTCTATAACAGTGCTCTTTTGTTTTCTTAGGCCTGTTCCAAAGGCTGAGACTGAATTGTTTACAGGATATGAAAATTACTGAAATGATATCCTGGCACAATGAGTTTAAGCAAGTGATTTACTGTTAGGAATTCTTGGAGAAAAGGCTCCAGTCAATAGTTTCAGGAAACTTTTTATAAATTTGTTTGTAATACATTAAACCATATCAAATATTCAGTCCTTCAACCAATGGGAGGTCAGGGTCAAACTAGGGCAGTAACTTGATACTGTATTAATTTTATGTTTACAGTAGGAAAATTTCACAGTCTGAGAAAAATGGAGCCTGTTCATGGAACTATTGGTATATGTTTACAGTGGCAGCAGGCGCAGAAAAAATCAAGTTGAAGCATTTTTTTGTTAATTGTAATGATAATTTCACTGTGAACATAACAGTATCGTGAAAATATAATGAATTACAGTACAGTCAAAGCTGCCCTGAACGACCTAGCCAGGGTGACCACCTGGCCAACGCAACCGCCATGAGTTGGGACCGCTCATGGCCCAATACCTGCCCATGGTGGCCGCGTCATTTTCAATCTTGTGGCAAAGTCGATTTATGAAATCGGCCAGTTTACCCACTATTGTTATGCTTGGAAACAATGGATGTCGGCACATTTTGCATACAGTAATTACATATACATGTACATAAAAACACATTTTTTCAGGATAAATGTTTACGAATTCCACCTTACCTCTTGTTGCGACTGCCGAGCATGGCGAATGAGAAGCCACACGGGTTACAGCAGCCGTGGAAGTGCTTGTGTCCTCCTGGGTACTTCTGGATAACTCCCTCCCTGTGGACAGAAAAATTAGAAACTTAGAGTTCCACGATCTCATACCTTCCCCAAATGATGTTAAATCTTTATGACTGACAAATTATTCCCCTGATTATGCAAATAGGATCCTCATTTCCATGAATTATATCAATGGCCGAGCCATACCAAAGACTTAAAAATGGTACACACTGCTTTCTCTGCTTAGCACTCAGCATTTTGAAAGGGTATGGTAGTTAAACATACACCACTACCAGTGGAGTAGCCCCCTCCTATAGTGATTGCACAACTGTATGGCCCAAGGGCTATAGGAATGGAGATGGGCACTGCCTTTTGCACCTTATATAGGAGCAGGAAGGAATTTTCACTTACTAATTTAGCCTGACTACATGTATGTCATGCTTGTAGTAGCCATTCCTTTGTTTTGACCCCTGACCGTGAAAAATTGTGTAATATCAGCCTTACAGAGCTGTACAGTGTCTGTTTTCCATTTTGTGATGACGACGTTTAGTAACCAAAAATCAGCCTCAATGTTTATTACTATAATCAGTTTGTACTAACTATAGAGTGCACACATAATGATGATATTTGTGTACTTACTTTCCCTTACTGCCAAGATTCTTGACAAATGACAAGTGACTGACTTCAAGAAACTTCAGCTGAAAATAACAAAATGAGGAAGATAAACAGCTACTCAATACATTAATTATAGTGGGTTAATGGAAAAAGGAGTCCAGTCCGATTGGCGGAAAAGCAGTCCAGTCCGATTTTGGGGTGGAAAAAGCAGTCCGGTGGTTTCTACGAAATTTTACGAAAGACCATAGGCACAATTTTTTCTTGTGTGTGTACTTCTACTTTCTATGGGTACATTAACCCAATTATAGTCTATGTATCTCCAACAAATATGCATCATATTATATACAGTGGTTCTTCTGTCATTCTATGTTTAACCAAGAAGGTTAAATACGATTTTAAACCTCCTTGGTTTAACTTTAAGTTAATACATGTGTAGTTTTAAAACATCAGATTCTGAAATAAAATGCACTCAGTATGGGAATTTTGTCTCCTTCACTTCAAAGTTGAAAACTATGTGACTGACCAAGCAAACAAGTTTCTTGATCTTCTTCCATGAATGTGAACTTACAGTGGGCTCCAGGTTCCTGAATGTCCTGATGTTCACCAGTCTCTGGAGATAGATTTCAAGTTGTTCCTGCAAGGGAACAGGGCATCAATGAAACTGACAAAAATCCCTTAGACCAAAAAGCTACTGTAACTGTAATGCCACACAACTATATCCAATTTACAGAGCAAAAAAAGCTATTAATTTATTTATTTATTTCCTCACAAGACAAGCTTGGTTGCCCCTTCAACTTGTAAAATTTTATTTCCAAGGGAGCCCGGCATACACAGGACAAGACATGTATATTTAGATGGGCCACATCACAAGACTTTTGATTCAGCCTTTTCTTGGGGCAAAGATCTACAAGTGACTGCTCAGCAGTGCCACCTCCCAGATTCTGACTGAACTCCACCCACCATCCTCCTGTTGAGGCGAGCTCCTGTGATGAGCGCATCTGGAGTTTTGGGGAGTTTCGGGAGCTTCCTCGGCTGCCCCTTCACACTTTTTCTTTTCTCCCTTTGTCTGAAAACAACAACAATACAGGCATTTGTAAATTCAAGTAGAAATGTTGGGTATTGTCCAGTAGTCTTTTGATTGAAACTTTATATTCATATTATTTGAGGGTACATGTAGGTCAAAACGGGAATCTACAATGTAGAGTAGACAGTGGGCATTTTAGTTAGAACTTCATAACTTAAATATCATAACGTACGTATAATAACATATAAGGGGGCCCGCAAGTCCTTTTCGATAGAGCGTAATCGGCTATTTTAATTCTACGTAGAGCATAGATGGACCGCTCTAATATTTTTGCGTAGAGCGTATTCGGCGTTTTAATTCTACGTAATGTGTTGTAGCCACTTGGAATTTATCGTAAAGCGTAATCGAGAGGTTTCAAAATTCAGTGTAGAGCGTTGTCGGGACCCCCCCTTGCAGGCCCTCATATAATAACTTTAATATATCATGATCATATCATAGTCATCTCCACATTGTATCTTGAATCTTATATAATACTAAATACAGAAATGAAAAGGTTTCTTTCATTAAAACAGTTTTCATCCTTGCCGACAATTAAAATGCCTTCACTGTACCTTGCAGTTGGTACAGGGACATGCAGTGATGCCTTAAACAGCAAGATGGCCTCGTGAAGCTGTCTGAAGTGTTTATATCTGCGCTTGATGGTCCAGTTGTGCTCACCATGCTGCAGGTTGATGGTGTACCTACAAGAGAGTCAAACAAGGAAGAAATTCTTAAGATTTTGGTACTGAACAGGTAGAATTGTAGGATGTTGTAATGTACATGTAGATATACAAAATAAAAAGAATTACATTGTAGTTGACAACTAGAAAGGTATGCATGATGTTTACATTGGACCTTCCCATATTTAATTCTTACTCAAACACATTACATACATGTATATGGTGACAGGAGTCTAAATCCTTCTTATTATAAAATTGCAACATGATGTAACCCAACACCAGTTGCCATGGTGACAGATGGTCTGGTTCAGGTCATTGACCAGGTCAGTGTTTGGAACAGAAGAAGAAACAGAGCAAAAACAATATGTTTTCCTTCGGTTAACATAATCATCATAAGAATTAAAAATTAAAATTCTGCTTTAAATTTCTGTATGCCTCTAACAGTCTTATCTTGACTGTATAGGAAATACAATCAATTTGAAGAATCACGTAAAGTATTCTTTCAAAGTGATTTCACTACATATACTGTTATTTGTAATCCAACACCATCAAGTTAGTTAATGGCCTAAAACACTCTCAGAATCTAATAGACTTTCACACCAGATGAAAGGCAAATTGAATTGCTATCAGCCTGCATCACTTCTCCTCAAAGAACAGTGATAACCACTCTGCACCAAGCAGGCTGTTTTCATGTACCATTAGGCCACACCAATCTAATTTCTTGGTTAACGGATTTTTCTAGAAAAATAATGGAGCGGGCGGGCGAAAAAAAAAAACAGGCCTAGCATCCTATTATGGCCCAAAATGGTAGGATAGGAGCCATGAAGTCAACACACAAGGCTGGTTCAAAATTTAAACAATGAACTTTTAACTTTTAATGATACCACTGCATTGAAAGATGGAAAAACTGTAACAACTAGGATGAAAAGGACTGTTTTCAACTGTTCTGGGCAAAATATGTAGCCTGGGTTCCATCCTGGTTAGTTTACGTCCGCTCCCACAGTCGCTACGGTAGCGACTGTGGGAGCGGACGTAAACTAACCAGGATGGAACCCAGGCTACAAAATATGAGCATTTTGCTATTTAATTGCAGTTGATTCTGAATTTTCATTTTTATTTGCAAATCAGAAAAAAATGAAGCAGGCAAATCCGTTAACCAAGAAATTAAATTGGTGTGGCGTTAATGTGATTCTCTATCCGTCTGTGGATTCTAATCGTATTACAAGTGTGACCTGCAATTACTTTACAGAAAAGGGTCAGGCAGGCGGCATTTTTGTGGGGAATAATCATTCATTTTACTCTTTAATAATGGATACACAGCTGTGTGATTGAAACTGAAGTTCATGTACAATATTCTTAGCTACCCCCAGGATACAAATTCTTTGAAACACAAATTATCCCGAGATAAAATCGGTCTTTTTAAGTTTACTGTTTCACTGTTAGCATCGTGTCTTCCATAATTGTGTGACTGTATACAAGGTACATGTACTCATTTCAATTGCAAACTGTTCTTCATACTCCTAATTTTTACCGTGCCTGAAAATCTAATCCTTTTACAGAGACTTAAAAATGAAATTACACTGTAACTGCTAACTGTAATATTTTGTCTCATCCAGACTTTAAACTTCTCCCTGCTGCCTAACCCCTTAATCAATGGAATATTGGTAGACAAATGGGTAAAATAGCTGCTACTAGATGATTTTTGAGGTACATTTGTACTGTGCTGGTACTGGACACAGGTAAATTGTATATGTATATGACACTCATCTTCTGTTGTTAATACATGTAGATGTCATTGGACAACGTTGTTGTGGATGTCCCTCCATGCTACTCTGTCCTTGGTGCTGAAATGGCCTGTATAGACGATTAGTGCTGTATAGTACCTGTGCCCAGTACCTGAGCACTAGTGCTGTGTACCTAAACCAATTTTTAGGTTCAGTTCCGGACTCAAGTCCAGAGGTTTAGGTTCAGGTCTGGACCCCAGTAAGCCAATTTAGCTAAAGACTTAACTATAATTGAATTGTACTATTTTGTATACAACTACACTCAGATCTTGTGAGCGATCGCGAGACTTCCCGAGTTTAGTATAAATAGCCGTCATATCAGAAACCAAAAGTTAGCAATGGCCAATGTTTGCATCTTTTACAATGCAAATATATGATCCATGGAGGGTTTTAGATAGCTTAGAACAAAATGGAGAATGTACAAATGTATGTAAGTGCGAATTTTTTATGCAGGTCCGGAAACGGTTCCTGATGTTCCGCTTTTTTAAAGGATTGTACCGGTCCAGAACTGGTTCAGCATACCAGTACATATCACTAACAAGCACAGTACCTAAAAAATCTAGTTTTGTACCCATCTGTACCTCAAAACCTTATGTGTGCTAAAGGTACAACAGATGGCATCTTCCATCCATGCAGATAGTCCTGATGACCCTTTTCTGTCTGAGTGTGTGATTACTGGGGTACATCTTGGCTGACAGTCTTTAATCTTCTTCTGCCATCTGTGCAGCTACAAACTGGGTGATCGATATGCATTGACACGCTTCCACATTCCTAATCCAACCATGCATTACGTGGAGTTTCAATAGCATTTTTCTTCTGAATGTACATATAGTGTATCCGCAGGGGTATTGACATTTGCTGTGCCCAAAAACCAGAGGGCAGAAGCAAATGCGAGCTACCATCAAACCCAAGCATCAGTGTGCAAGCACTTCTAACCCTCGATTATGGGGAACAAGAGGATAAACCAGATAGATCATAGAGAGAGAAAGTGTTGGCATGACTTGACAAAAAGAAATTAAATCCTTGATTATGAGTTTTCTTCAAGTTTCTTTTATATTGGAATCTGGGTCAAAATAATTCTGTTTACTATGTGTCAGTGGTTTCTTTCTATACTTATGCCTGCCAAACTGCAAATTGGCCAATAAATCTGTGTCGCAATTTCAGAATTTTTACAATTTTCCATTTGCTTGATAGAGCAGAAATGACATCTTGTTCCTAGTAAGTTCTTTTAGCAGAATATGCAATTAAACCTTTAGGTTATCGGACCTTTCTGAAGCATTCAAGGTCAGAGTCACCCAGATAGAAAACAACCATCTGGCCAACCAGAAAATATATACATGTAATAGGCTCTCTCTTTACTAGATGGCCTTCTGTAACCTGCTTTATAAATTTACCGGAAGCATCTGAATGTTTAACGACCTCCCATTAGACTGACCTATTTCCAGTTAGTAACTTAGATTGATTAGGTTAACAGTGAGAGCAGTTTCTGTTGCTGAAATGTCCAGTATACAAGAGATTTCAGAATATGATAAATATGTGATTTCATGTATAATAAACTAGAATTAAGGTAAAATTTGCAAAGCAAATGCATTATGGTTACCTTCGCATATTGTCTGCTCTGTTAATTCTTAATCCTAAATCCCTCCTTCTATAAAATTGCAACATGATGTAACCCAACACTAGTTACCATGGTGACAGACGTCTGGTTTAGGTTCTTGACCTTATCGATTTGGAGAAGAAGAGGAAACAGAGCAAAAACAACATGTTTTTCTTTCAATTGGTAAACATAAATACAACATTATGATATGTTTTAGGGATACTAGTAAACATAAAATGTAGAATGATCACATGCTTTTCAGTTGGGTGGGTATTTCATGTCATTTTGCAGTAGATTTTGAGTAACTGATCTGTACAACCCTTTCTTCACCTAGCCTAGTGCCATCAAGCATCACTGACCCAAAAGATGAGGGTCACAGTACAGAGATTTGCTCATGTCACCTTCACAGAGTGATCACTCCTATAGGATCACTGTATAAGCTATAAACTTGCTGTAAGTTACACTGTAATAGTGTTGACAGCCACTACCAAGAGTATGGCGAGTCTGCTGGTGTTTATGACACTCCAGTCAGTAATTCACCATTGAATAACTCTTCCTGACAGGTTTAGTTCACTTGATGCACAAGCATGTCAAAACCATCTGACATCACTGTATGACTACTTTGATCATGACTTATTGCTTTGTACTTGTAATTCCACCAGAATTTTGACTGCTTGCCCCAGCAAATATTCCCTTCGCATTACTACAAACAGAATTTCAAAGAAGCTTTATGGTGTCAAAGGAAAGATTATTGCAATATCCAGGTAACCCCATGACCTATTTTTGTTATGATGTCCTAGCTTATTGACTGATTTGATGGATTATTAATAATGAGTGAATCCATATTTCAAGGCTAGACCTAATCTTACTGCTCAGTGGAGAGAGTTAAACAGCCTTTCATATGGACAGCATAATATATCTTTTCAGAAATGGGACTATTATATTAATCAGCATAATTAATCAATATTCTTTTGCAAGGGAATGGAGAAAAACATATTGAATTTCATATATAAACATATTGAATTTCATATATAAACATTGTTTATTAGATTGATGAATTAGATTGAAACACATTCATATATTGAAAAACATATTCATATATAACGTTAAACATATATCATTACTTATTAGATTGATAAACTTGAGGTAAAGTTGCCTTAAAAGTGAATATTATCAGGTAAATATTGTATTGTAACTATACACTTGTTAAACAACTTGCTCAAGAGGTACTAAGTGCTGTGAATTTGACAGGAATATGTGCATTAGATCATTTCTATTATCAAGATTTCAAGCTAAATATTCAATGTTACGCTTGTGCTACATACATGTATAGCATAATGTTCATAATTTGCTTTACGACTGGCAAAATCAAACATGATACAAGATGTGAAGGAATTCTCAATAACATTCAATGACAGTCACAACTACTCTTGATTGGTGGATGCATTATTTTCATTCAGATCATTTACTCTGAAAAGCTTGATGAAATGCCAATCAATTTGGGCCTTTTTAGTGTGACACAAACGAATTTCGTGTCTTTTAATTACAGTAACACAAATGGGGTGAGAAATGAAGATCAATAAAGAGACGGAATTAAAAAAAAACTAAAAATGACATATTTCATCATCCCTATCAGCTAGAATATTGGATTCAACTATTTCTGAAAACAAAATATTCAAGTTTTTATGTGAAGAAAATACACCTTGGCTAACTTTTATCACATTAAAGTAATAAAATTCAGATGAGCTCGAGTACGTGAGCTCCCACCGCCCGCTACTTGTGATGACAATAAACAGATGACCGCTGGGTCAAGTGAGGTCAGGGGTCGTATTCTGTGCATCTAATTAATTTCTTTGAACTGTCGCCCAAAGAACTACCATTAAAGTAATGCCCAGTTTTGAGATGAATTACAGTTATGTACACAAACCTGACCATATGGCAAGAAAACCAATTACAATTATGTTTCCCCCCTTCAATCAATCGATGAGGTGGAATATTGGATTGAATGAGGCCAATGTAAGTCATTACATTCAGTGGAGGCTGTCTGCTAATTTTGTCATTCATCAACAAAACATTTCTGAGGCAATGACCATAAAAAATGTTCTCTGTCACTTTCTACAATTTGCTTTCTATACCTTCATACTATATCTATTTCTGTTGGTATGCAAGAAGAGATTATGTTATAGAGGGAATGTTTAATTCTTTCAGGGGGAATTTTGGGCCCCTCCGGTTCGATCCATGTTCCCCATGACAGTTTGAAACTGTTCAAGGTCACACAACAAGATTACAGCCAAGTACGGCATGGACTTGAGAGAAATTACATGGTTTATGCATGTCTACTGAGGTTTGCTGAGATTTGCTACAACAGGGCTTGAAATTAATTTTTGGCAATTGGGTAAAAATTAGGTAAAAAATTAGGTGCACCAAAAATTTTTGGGATGCACCATATAAAACAAAACCTAATGACAGATCTTGCTGCTCCTCTTCTGAGCTTGAATCTGAAATGGGAGCCAACTTCAAAATCTTAGTACTACAACAAAGATTTTATTATTTTTCTGACACTTAGATGCCAAGACAATCCTGTAATAGTCACTAATTCATTGTACATGTACATGTTCAATGATATGTACAAAAATACCTAGTACAAAAATACTTGACTGCACCCACAGAAAAAAAATTGGGTGTACAGCTCCAAATTTGGGTGCACTACATGCACTCAGTATTTCGAGCTCTATGCAATCCATACTGATGACATGTGACATGTGGTGAACCGAATGCCTTTCATCTTAAATCTCTGCTTTGCGTTAGACAGAATAATACATTGGGGTAGACTCTCAAGGGCAATCTTATCACTTCTCCCTAAATCTCCCAGCTAATACACAGAATACAGATGTACTGCACCTGCCACTGTGGTGTATATCATCCTCTGAGGATAGGGTAGAATTGGGCATGCTATAACAAATGTGTATGAAGAGTTTGGATGGAAATGTTTGATTTTGGGAGAATCAAATAACAAGTTATATATGCCAATTTGTGGCCTAAAATTTGTTAAAAAGATGGTCCCCCTCATGGGTCCCAGAGACAAGACAGTGTGTTTGTGTTATACTTTTACAGACTTTTACTAACCTGAAAGATCTGTTGCTTATTACATTGTAACACTCTCTCTAGATGTAGAAGTCACTTTGGTTGAAGGTTTGGCACACGAGGCCACTAATGTTGGAGATGAAAACTAAAAAATCTTCAAGTGTGCAATGTAGTTTTGCCCGTTTTGTCTAATAATGTTAATTTGTTGAATAGTTCAGGTACAGGACCTGTACCTGAACCCATGCATGTACAATGTATCTGTACCAGGTCCTGTTCCTGTTCCTGTACCTAAAATTTGTTTTGGTACACAGCTCTTAACACACACACACACACACACACTACCCACTCTGACTCACAGGTTAGGGTTGAGTGGTTTTCTCCTGTAGCATACACACAATTGCACACACACTACTTTACACACACACACACACACTCACAGGTTAGGGTTGAGTGGTTTCCTTCTGTAGCTCCTCTCTACATCAATGATCTTCACATCGATGGGCTCTCCCGGGATGAACCCTGCCCGTTTGGGGTGGTTGAAGGGGACCGGATCCTTGTGAATACTGGAGAACGGAACCTTGAAGGGACTTGTATCTGATGGGAACAAATGGGGCAAATAATTACAATCTTCACTCTTAACACAAGGCAGCAAAGGTCTTTCTCACTCTGTTATCGTGCAATATCGTGCAAATTAAAAGATCTACAATCATTCAACTAAGAACGTTGGTGAAGGTTACTAAATAATAGACATTCAGGCTTACTTAAGATATGCCAAAGAACAGTTACTCAAGCAACTGGATATGATTTTGGAAAAGGTCATTCAACTTAGTGTCTTCCTTTACGAAATGTAATAAGCTCTGCCCCTTGGAGGTTGCCAAAAAACAGTCTGACGTTGAATTAAAGGTTGCATCAAGCTGTTTCTCTTCCAAACCATAAAAAGACGTAAACAACGTACAATGTATACAATGTACCTATAAGCACTCAAGTCTTCAACCTTGATCAATCATTTGGTATCAATATTATCAATAGAAGATAGCAATAAAGTGAAAGACAGTGTACAATCATGCAGTATGCTCTCAAGGATTGATATGGAGAATTATGATCATGGTACTGTCAATTTTCAACGTCTCCAATAAGACATAATAAATCATTTCACGACTCCCTGCAAAATAAGTATCTTGGGAAGCTTAAAATATAAAACATGAAACCGTAAAATATTCTGCGTAAAGTAACTACAACATCCCAGTGACACTGAAGAATAACTGAAGAAAATTGTCAAGAAATACAATAATAGAGATTGAAAGTTGAACATCAGATTGCTTTGCAGAGAGTCCAATCTAGAAGGTCAATTTTCAATCCTACTCAACCTAGACAAACAAAGTGGAGTCAATCATTCTTTGTCAGACTACTAGGCACTAGACTGGTCACCCGAATCACTACATAATGAGTTTTAACCATGCAGCTTCATCACAGTGCACTAGTGAGGCCTTAAAGGGGGGCGGCAAGAAAATACAATTTTTGAACCAGTAAAACTCAAATCCTTCATAATCTACTTACATCAATCATCCACTTTGGTAGATTTTGGTCAGGCAATGATGAAAATTTGTAACGTCAATCTTCATTAACTGGCCTGGCAAAGTCATAATGTCATTGGGTCAAAATCAGCTCCAAAGAGCTCTGATTGGATAGTAGGGAATTGGTAATTAATTGGATTTTGGGGTTCAAAGGTTTATGATAATTGAACTTCATTGCCTTTCCCTCACATAAAAGACATGCATAGAGCCATGATTCTAACACGTCACATTCCCATGCAGGTGTACTAGATACCTTCTTGTTTCTTCCTCCTCACTCCAGTAGGTACATGTACTTAACAGTATGGGAGAGAGCAAAAGTTAGACACATCGGCAGTTAGGCATCGAACAAGCGTCAAAGCATGAGAAACTTGATGACTGATAACTTGGCTCTTCAATAGTGATTCAAAATTAATTGTGATACTGTTAGTATCCTGTCCCCTGTATAATGGTACGGTCCAAAAAGTGGTCGGTTACTCTAATAATCAACCACTTTGAGGTTACGGCCTGAACTGATTAGAAATGGAGCCTTCTGATTGGTTAATGTCTTCTGGCTATATGATAATTGCCTTTTTTGCTCTTTTTTTTTCTTATTGGCTTTGTCTAACAGACTTAGAGGTCTCAAACTTGATGTAAAATGTCCAAAACTGTTGTGCATGAATTTTGGGATAATCACAACATTTACAACTATTGTTACTCAAGCAACTGGATAGACTTTGAAGACTGTCAGATGTTCCAAGTAGCAATCACTGTGACACACACACACACACACACACACAGTCACACACAAAATGTCATTCACAAATAATGAGACAAGCAGGCTAGCCTATAGCTACATGTTAGGTATTATAGTACAGTCTCAGTGTTCTCGCCAGGCCTTTTGAGCATAGGGCCCCCTATGCTGTAATTTGGTCCCCAGACTATGCTGTGATTTGGACCCCTATGCTGTGTTTCAACCAGCATAGGGGTGTTTTTGTAAGAAAATTAATAAATCTTGCTAAAAAAATGAAAATATTACTTTAGAATTAAGCTTTAGCAAAGGGAAAACCTTAACTTAACAAAATCTGTCCATCAAAAAGTGAGAAATAGTGTCTCAGGGGGTTATAAGTTAAATTCTTTTTTCGGGTCAAAGCGCGACTTGCGCCGCTAAAGTTGCCCTTATGCACGTGACCCCTATGCTGTGAAAAATCCTGGTGTGAACACTGAGTCTGCTCTCTGTAATGTACACAATGTCACGTATGTGTATCGATTGGCAGGTACTGTAGGCTATACAATTGTACATGGTGCAGTAGATATTGATTGACCCACATTCAAATGTCTTTAGGAATGACTTAAACCTTGAATTACCTGGAAGCCATGCCAAATATGAGTTTGACCTCTTGTGACTTGTATATTGAACATTAAACATCAATAATACACAGGAATATGTGCGCATGCAGGGCTCAAAATACTGGGTGCATGTGCACCTTAGTGCACCCAATTTTGGATGTGTACCCATTTTTTTCTTCAAATACTTTTGCACGTATGCTAAAGATGTTAAATATAAATGTATTGTATTAACATCATATTCTTAACATCTAAGTGTTAGAAAAATAGTAAAATTACATGTATTGTTAGAGTATTTTTTTTAGAAATGCTACATAATTACTAATAGCTTTTTCTGATATTATACTTATTCTATCATATATGGTGCACCCCAAAAAATTTTGTGTACCTTGCATTTAGCAAATGCATAATGTTTACCTTCGCATATGGTCTGCTCTGTTAATTCTTACTCAAACACATTCATACATAAATGCTAAATCCCTCCTGCTATAAAATTGCAACATGATGTAACCCAACACCAGTTACAATGGTAACAGACAGTCTGGTTCAGGTCATTGACCTTTTTGGTTTGAAGAAGAGGAAACTGAGCAAAAGCAATATGTTTTTCTTCAGTTAAACTTAAAGCATAAAAATTAATTTTGAGCCCTGATGTGATTAGTGAGATTATTTGTGCTTACTTGAGGTTGGATCAGGGGTTGGAAGTGGAGATTCTGCATCCTCGTGGAAGTCTAGAACATCAAAATCTTCCTCAGGGTCTGCACTGATGGTGTCTGCTCGCATCAACACCCGAGGCATCTTGGCTCACAGAAACTGTATGTGGTAACAAACATCCATGAAGAATTAATTATAAGACATCAAAAACAATCACAGGTATGTAATACAAAATAAATCAAATATTGTAACATTGAAAATTTGGTAAAAATTTACATCTCTGAAGAGTCACTTGACATATACATGACATAGTATGTAACTTCTAGTATCATAGTTGTCATCTGTAACTAGATACCACTACATACAGTTTTAGTCTATCAAGAACTAAAAATAACAGACTAAGATCATGATATGTACAATATCCAAATTATATACCCATATGTAGAATATGCAAAATTATATATCCATTATAGTATATCCATTATAAATTTAAACAAGAAGCCATAGGCGACAATTCTCCGTGAAGTATTATATATTGCAACAAAAAGAAGTAGCCATTGGCGACAATTCTCTGTGAAGTGTGATAAATCGAACAAAGAAAAATTGTTTAAACGCGCGTCGGCTCAGTCATCTTAAGACGCAACAACCAATCAGAGATGCGAGATGCCTACACGTGACGCGGGAAGGGCGCGCGATGCCCGAAATATTTTTGCGTCAATATTCAGCGCCGTGATTCAAGAGATTAATACCCGGAAACAATTTTTTTCTTGTTTTGAACGCATTAACATGCATTTACGCTAATCTAGTATGATTCAGGGTTACTTTTTTTAACCTGCCATGGCCAGATTATCTAAAGATGTGTGTATTGTGTGTACAATCTATAGAAAGAGAAATGTACATCAGGTCCGATCATCCGATTTTCACGTTTCGGTTTTTTGGACTCGGTTCATGAACGTATTTTGGTTTGGCTCCTGGAATGTGACAAAAAAATGACTCCCGGGACTGTCTACAGGGAACACTCGCACATTCGCGGTGTATCAGGACAGCGCGACTGGTCGTCATTAGCGCAGTAACAGTTGCATAAACAGACGAAACCATTTCAAAGAAATGGGGATGTTTCGAAAATAAGCATTTACTCCAATATCAAAACAGCTACGGTAAAAATAAAAAGACGTGCATCATCCCGGACATAATGCAACACCACATGCGAAATTACACAGAAATGCGACGTACGGAAGAATGCGTTTTGGCTGCGAACATCTTCCAAAAAACTTGGCATCTCTTAACCATGGGCAAAAACATCTGGAACCACTTATAAAAACCACCCCGTATCTGCATGAACTTTTTTGAACCCCACTGCTATTCCAAACAACGCGTTTTTCTGGACCATTCCAATTCGCCTCGTAATTGTAGGGGTGCGTCTGCGATATTACATTGACCGCGAAAGCAGCAACGGCAAAAATACACATTCGTGCATCAACACGGGCATGCCCGCACACGGCGTATAAAATTGCGTGCCGATTACACAAAGAGAACCCAGTGTTTTGACTGCGAACATGAAAAATCAGCCGATTACAACACTCCGTCCGGAGGTCCTGACCTCCTTCACGGAGTAAAAATTACCATTTTAACGATTAAAGAATCATATATATATATATATATAAAAGAGAAATGAAAACATGACCTGTATACTTGGACGTGGCAATTTCAATATTGACCAAGTGATGCCATAGGGTTATTCCATTTCAAAGTCAATGGGGGTGGCCAGGATATATATTGTTTTCAATATTTTAAGATAAAAATGATACAGAAATATTAATTTAAATTGGGCATTAGGCATGCATCTTTGATCAGTAAAACAATATGATTCAAAGCCATTAAATTTTCTTTCTGGCATTCCATGATCTCAAGAAGTTAGTTTATGCCCAATTCTTGACACATACAATTCATTTTGCCAGTTTATTTGACTGAAGTGCCAGTAATAAATATTCTCCTTGGACAAATTAAAATTTTGTTGGTGACAGGTAAGTTTTCCACACCCAGAATTTAATCAAAGTAGTCTGTTTTGCTTGTCTTCCAATCCACATTCCACAGTAACTAATGTACACACACAGCTACATGTTAATGGATAACTTAACAACCTCAACACTATTGTGTGAAATAGTTTAAACCTCCCTATAAGTATAACTACCTCCAATTTTCAGTTACTAGTATTTCTTCTTGAACGACTGAATAATTATAGCATTTTATACACAACTGAAAAACAAGCAATTAGTACAATTTCTAGCAAACATACTACTATTAATCTCTGTTGTAATGTTAATTTATATTTGCCAGACAATTTACTGTAAAAAATCAGCATGTTTTCGTACAGGCTACAAGGCTGTTTTTTTTTATTTTTTAGATAAACTGTTAGAAAAAATCACTTATTCCAAGGATTGGAGCCTTTTATGATGTCCTAATGCTTACAGCATAGTACAAGAGAGACCATCTTTCTGAGGCTTACATGTCCATTTGTACAAATTACTACAATCTTGTGCTTTTGGCAAATACATTGTATATGTCAATCAGGATATGACCCTAACATACCAATGACTTCAATATACAAAGGTGCAACATACCGTTATCATCAGATGTGCCGCTTTACGCGTGTGCCAGGGCCCAACCTATGTTGACAGACCAGTTTTTCCTCATACTCAGGATTACAATGGGCATGACTGGGCCAAACAAATACAGTAGCCTGTATGTCATCACCCTGTTTAGTAATACTGCTCATTATGTTCCACCACAGTGCCCACCATTCCTATACTATATAGAGTAGTGCACAATGTTTTTGCTTGTATGTTTATGTGTGTAATGTTAATTCTATGATTCTCAATTTAACACTGCCATATACACATGTAATAATCTATAAATATTAACTGTGTCCTCAGTGCTGCTAATTTTGTAAATTGTAGGACTAGAAGGATGGTAAACTTAAAGGAGGGACTGCATGGAGGGGGGGGGGTCCCGACAACGCTCTACGCTGAATTTGGAAACCTCTCGCTTTGCGATGAATTCCAAGTGGCTACAACGCATTACGTGGAATTATGTTTTTAACAGCGAATACACTCTACACAAAATGCGCCAATTACGCTCTACGTTGAATTAGAGAGGTCTGTCTACGCTCTACGAAAAAGGGGGTGGGGGCCCCCTTAAAGCTGTACAGTATGCCCAATGTTTACGGAGATTATTTCAGAATTTCCAATCAATATTTTTTATTGACTTCACGCCATATGGCAATAAGCTACATTTTATTGATGTACACATAAGCTATATATATACGTCCAGGATATGCCCCACAATTATTCTTTATCAAAATACAAGCATCTCTTTGAATTCTGTTGTAAGTGTTTATAGTTTTTTTTACAGTGTCTGTCTATAGAGGGAATCTCTAGATCTCTTGAACTTCTCTGTCCATCTTTCTCATTCTCTGTCCATCTTTCTCATTCTCTCCATCTTTCTCATAATCTCTCTCCATCTTTCTCATTCTCTCCATCTTTCTCATAATCTCTCTCCATCTTTCTCATTCTCTCTCCGTCTTTCTCATTGAGACTCTCTTCATCTTTCTCATTCTCTTTCTTTTTTCTCTGTAACATTATCAATCTTTCTCTTCAGATCTGTACTTCTGCAAAGATGTATAGATACTGATTCTAAAAAGGCCTTGACTTGTGAGTTTGTTCGAGTGCTCCCATTTTTTGCTGACTTGGCGTTCCATCACACCAGACAAGTTTCATTACCGTACAGAGGGAGGCCTTGGTTCTGTAGACAGTAATTGACTTTCACCATCACCCTCAGTACCAGGAAATTGGTTTCCCAGGTTCCGTCTTAAAGTGGAAACACCCCCTTGTCTGTCAACGGGAAATTGCTTTCAGAATTGGTCTGACGCATAACTTGCCATAAGGCCACACCAATTTGATTTCTTGGTTAACGGATTCGCCCGCTTGTTTTTTTTTCTGATTTGCAAAAAAAAAAAAAAAAATTCAGAATCAACTGCAAAATGCCCTAGTTGTTACAGTTATTCCATCTTTGCAGTGGTATCCTTAAAAGTTCAAAATTCATTGTTTAAATTTTGACCCAGCCTGGTGTGTTGGCTTCATGGCTCCTATCGTACCATTTTGGGCCATATATTATACGGCTATTCCGAGATCAGGGTGCGCCAAAGGGTTGCACTTGGGCCAATTTTTCAAGTTTTATATTTTTCTACTTTCAGTGCAGATAATCGCACTAGAGGTGTTACCATACATTGCACTTTTTAAATTTTGGATAGAGACGTTCAGTTCAAAAGTTGTGCTCTTCCAAACTTTAGCCCACTCATTTCAGATGTGGCCGGCAACGGACACTACAGCTAAGCTGTAGTGTCCGTTGCCGGCCACATCTGGCCGCTCAAGTACATGACAAGAACACCAAATCTTGCAAGACCTGTCATTTAGGGGTTGACAAAATGCTACAGAAATAACATAAATGAAAAAATTACTTCAAAATTGCAACAAAATGTAATTAATGTACCTATATGGTATACTTGGCAACGGACACTACATGGCAACGGACACTACACCCTTGAGGTTTTTTGACATTATTTCATATAATTACAGCAATAGACTGAAATAGCTACTGTGTTTTAAGTCAGCATCTTCAGCTGTTTCAAAACCTGAAATCATATGCACCCACAGCTTTTCTATTTTAAGTTATTACCGAGCAACGGACACTACACATTTTCTCGGACAAAAAAGACAGGTAACTGTAAGCCATCAGCCATATTAACCCAAAGGACAAGCAACATAAAAACACATGTTTTGTGTCATATATGGATGTACCTTGCATAACATGCAAAATGGCCAGTTCTATCACCATCCTTTTTAGTACAGGGAGATAAGTTAATTGCAATGTGTTAATTTATGAATTTTACATAACGTGTACAACATATTGATAAATACGCTCTAGAAAAGAGAAATTTCCAATCATCATCAGGTTTTTTGCAAAAAATATCAGACTGAGCATGTCTGAACATATTGCAAATCTTTTCATTCCATTTTTTTGTTCCCAAATTACTTAAAAGCATATTTCAAAAACTGGCATTTTTCAAGTGCAACAGCATAACGTAGATTTTATGCCAATTTCTGGTCTTAAATTGGCCATAGCATAAGTTTTAAACATCTTAACACCAAATCTCTTCCTGATTGTCTGTAAAATAACTGCACTAGTATAACAAGTTTGATAAATGTCAACAGAATGCGATAAATACAGAGTAAGATTGACATAACGATGCACGATGCCATTGGCGCACCCTGATCTCGGAATAGCCGTATAGGATATGCCTAGGCCTGTTTTTATTTTTATTTTTTCGCCCGCCCGCTCCATTATATTTTTCTAGAAAAATCTGTTAAGTTAAACCAAGAAATTAAATTGGTGTGGCCTAAGGCTTTGGCTGAATATTTTGACAATTTTATCAAACATTCTTTTTACTGGAAATTGCTTTTCAGGATTGGTCTGACGTATAACTTGCTATAAGGCCACACCAATTTAATTTCTTGGTTAACGGATTCGCCGCCTCATTTTTTTCTGATTTGCAAATAAAAATAAAAATTCAGAATCAACTGCAAACTGCTCATACTTTGCCCTGAACAGTTGAAAACAGTCCTTTTCTTCCTATTACAGTTATTCCATCTTTCAATGCAATGGTATCATTAAAAGTTCAAAATTCATTGTTTAAATTTTGAATCAGCCTGGTGTGTTGACTTCATGGCTCCTATCGTACCATTTTGGGCCATAATAGGATGCCTAGGTCTGTTTTTATTTTTTTTTTCACCCGCCCGCTCCAATATTTTCCTAGAAAATCCGTTAACCAAGAATTAAATTGGTGTGCCCTTGCTAACTTTGTTCGAATTCCATGCTGGAGCTTGAAACTCTGCTCTGCTCTATTTTCAATCAAATTTTGATTCAAAATTTCAAACAATGCTCAATGATGGGTTCCCATTATGTGGAGGCTCAAAACAAATCACTTACTATAGATCTACTGCCTTTATTAAATCAATATATCAACATACACCTCCCTTTGCATTATCACTAAGCATACAAGTACAACAATTTATAAAGGTGGCAAACCTGTCAGCAGTCCATTTAATGTTACTAATGTCTCCATTTAGTCTATTACTCTGGGGAAATCAAAGCTCTGTGCTCTGTCCCTCCTGAATTTGTGAATGAATTTCACTTAAAATTGCCTGGCCTAATACATTTGTATTGGAAAGTCCTGCATGGTACCAAGGTAAAACATGTGCCACATTTAATGTTGAAGTGATCTTGCCAAAACTTTGCAGGTGACTAAAGAGGGGCAACAAAAATTTAGGCTGGCAACTTGATGATTGGGTACTGGCTATGAAACATACCTACATGTGTGTACATGTCCATTGTAGGTCAACGACCTGTAACATACTTATGATCATTATCCACTTATGAAGAACAGTTTGATATTCCTGTAATATTGGGCATTTTTTTCAAACTCTTGATCAAAAGATTCAAGTACCGGTACATGTAATTACGCGAAAGATTTTACCTGGATGTCTAACCTTCACCGGCGTTTTTTAGTAACATCTGTGTCCATAATATCACCAGGGTCCATAATATCGCCACCTTGAGAAACAGTGTGCTGCAACATACTTTTGGTATGCACTCCTTCACACATCAAATGTACATACATTGTTGCAGTAAAAATATCTTTTTAAAAGCACACTATTTCTCAAGGTGGTGATATTATGGACCCTGGTGATATTACATGGACACAGACGTTACATTGTAATTGAAACATGCATGCAAGAGATTGTTGAATGAACCACAAAGATATCATCCATTTCAAACGATGCTCAATGTTGGGTTCCTATTATAACAAAGGTCGAATGAAATGTTTATTGATGTGATTTTGTAATGTCAAGTACGTAGCACTTAAGTGCAATGAAAAAAAGCAATCAATACGTTAAAGCCACTGCCAAGTTCGTGCCAAGAAGAAATCACACACGGTCCACTTCTTGGTTATATATGCCAACATGTATATAGTTTAAACAGGACTTGCCCCCAGGGGCAAATTTAGAAACCATCACAACTTGGCATTAAACACAGACATGTAATGTACAGTTGTAGCTTCTGTGTTCAAAGCATCCCTGGGCCTTGGCTTGGAAAATGTCCAAATGAAGCAATATTGACATTGCATTTTGGAAAAGGCCCAACTACTGTATAGCATGTATTTTTCTGACACTGACTGAGACACAATGTCTGTGAATATCATTTATGACCACCTTTTTTGCTAATATAAACACAGACATGTACAGACTAGTGATGCATACCTAAACCCAATTTTATTTTTAGGTTCAGGTCCGGATTCAAGTCCAGAGGTTTAGGTTCAGTTCCGGACTTGTTAGCCTGCGTATACAAGCTCTCGGCTGGAGGTTAATGACCCCCACCCCACCCCAAGGCAACCTAGGGCGGCGGCCGCCAGGAGCGCGATTTAGTCAGGCTACGGACTTGTAAACCCATGGCATATACAAAATTGCATGTTGGCAACCTTGCAACATGGAGGTCTGTACTTGACGATGCCCGATGGCAATGTTTTCTTCACAAAGATTTTACAATCTACGGAAGGTTTTAGGTGGTTTGGAAAGAAAAGGGGTATGTGAAATGGTCTTTTATGGTAATAAGTCCGGACTCGGTTTTTGACTTCTAGTTTTTTTGGGGGGACTTGAACCTTAACATTCTTACAAGTCCGGATCCAAGTCCAGTGAACCGGTATGCATCACTTAAGTACAGAGTCAGTTGTAGCGTCTGTGTTTAAAGCATTCCTGGACCTTGGAAAGCTGTTGCCAAAGATAACAGCTCGAGATCACTGTAACTTAGTTAGTGTAACTAAGGAAGTTAATTCCTTGCTGTAACAGTCATATTTGGGTCACCTCACATCCAAGCCTTCTGAGCACTTCATTCAAATTGAGATCAATTATGTTCAGAAAATCTTACTGGTGTTAAAACCCATCCATATCTTGGAGTCCAACTATCACAGGATATGAAATGGGACACACATATAAATTATGTCACTGGTAGAGCTAATGGGATACTGGCAGTCATCCGCCGTGACCTTTCGCACTGTCCTCTTCGTGTCAAATCTACATGCTACAGAACACTTGTGCGCCCACGCCTGGAGTACTGTGCGACTGTGTGGGATCCCCGCGCCGTCGGTGGTTCCCGGGCGTTGGAGCGAGTCCAACGAAGGGCGGCGCGAATGACTGTTGGTGATTGTGGCTGTACCAGCGGTGTTTCTGGCATGCTGGGGCGCCTCCGGTGGCCGTTACTTGTTGACAGAAGGAGAACCGCTCGCTTGATATCTTTATATAAAATTGCTCATGGACATATTAATATTCAAATGGAACAATACCTCAAGCCTGCCCATAGGCGTACCAGAGGAAGTCATGAATATGGGTATCAAGCAGTGCCTGCCAAGGCGGACTGTTTTAGATTTTCTTTTTTTCCAGGAGCGGTGAATGGGTGGAACGGGTTGCCGGGCCAGCTTGTAAAAGCCCAGACAGTGGAGGCCTTCAAGGCCGGGCTTCTGGCCGCGCAGCCATAGTCCGTCGCACCCCCCCCCTCTCAGTGATACCCCAGTAGGGGTGGTTAGAGAGTATCGAAGAAGAAGAAGATCAATAACAACCAATCAAGGAAAACATTTTAGCCATGAATACTTTTACCTTAATCAGTAACATAATACCCTGATGAATTATTCACATGAGACTGTCTGTGTCATACAGTAAACAACCATATATTATCATCCTCTGCATTGAATAGAATTGTAAATTATTTGAAGTGAAATGAAGTACTACATGATGTATTTTCAGCTGCTTTTTTCCTTTTTATGAAAGTCCTAGACAAAAATGTAGGGAAGATGACATGTCCATATACATTTTTTTGTATGTACAGAAAATTCTAACGTTACATTGTTTTACTGTAAAAGTTTCTTCAAGCATTTTTGTTAGCCTCCACCAGCAGGCCTTTCTACGGGAATACGGATAGTAGAATTCGGCAAAAAAATAGTCTAAGAGTAAAATTGGCCAGAGGAGTCCGGCCGCGGGGAGGTAGT